CCTGGCTGTTTCCGAGCAACGTGGAGCATGGGTCGGTTGGTGCTCTAGTGGTGTGCACAGGTGTGTGTGTGTGTGTGTGTGTGTGTGTGTGTGTGTGTGTGTGTGTGTCTTCACAGGTATGTATGCCTGCACATGTGTGTCTGCACAGATGTGTGCATGTGATTGCACAGATGTGTGTGCACACATGTATGTGAACAACCATGTGCATGCACACGTGTCTGCACACACATGCACACGTGTCTTCACACATGTGGGCACACGTGCATGTTTTATGCATTTGTGCACATGTGTGTGCTTGTGTCCGCACAGACATGTGCGTGTGTCTTGCTTTTACTGCTCATTGGTTGCTTGGATGCGGTTAAAGGAAGGTCACGCGGGAGGCCATTGGGCAGACGCCTAAAGGCAGGGCCTGTCATGCTTTGTGGGTGTCGTTCTGTGTCTTCTCTGTGGCATCCTGCCAAGGGCACCCAGGGAGGGAGGATCACAGGAGAGGAGAGCCCTGGGACTCTGGCTGGCAGGCAGAGCCCTGCTTCTCAGCTGGAGAGGCCAGACTGCCAGCCCGTGTTTTGGAAGGATGTGGCAGGGTGCAGCGCCTCCGTGTCTGTGTGGCCCCAGCGTGGCCCCCTCGAATGAGGATTTGTGGAGAGGCAGCTGCGGCCGTGGCGGCTGCCTGTGTTTGGTGGGGAGGCCTTGGGCATTTTTCGTTCTTGGTGCAGATGGTGATGCTACTTTATGGAAGTGATGTGCTGCAGTGAAAGTGGGTGACTCTTTTTTACTTTTCAGCTTAATGGATAAAATAGAAGGGAGGAGAAGCCCTGGCTGGCCAGCTTCATGCTAACGCTCATCTTCGCGGGATTCTAAATGTGTCTCAAGACAGTGAGATGAGATAAATAATTTAGCCACTGGAAAGTCCTGCAGCCGGCCTGAAAAGATTTCTAGCCTTGTTGAAAGGCAGCGTAGGGATTCACTTGTATGAATCCCTTATCTTAACTGTGTGTGTGCAGATCCCACTCATGCTAGGGAATGGGCAAGGGCGGATGGACCATTCCAGAGAGGGCAAGGGGGCTGGGGAGTGACTCAGTGGCTACGCACGTGGCCTTCTTCTTGGCGTGGTTGCAAGTGCATGTTGGAGCCCTGCTGAGTGCCCGGAGCCCAGCCTTTGGCTGAATAACATGGCTCGTCAGCTTCCAGGGAGCCTCTATGTGGTAGCAAGATGGTCCAGGTTCACCGGTGGGGACACATCGGGAGAAAGGAGAACAAGGCACCGCCCGGGTGATGTAGGACCGACTGTAGGCAGGGTTGTGCAGGGGTCTGAGTGAGTGCCTTACCTGAGGCATGAAGGATGGCTGATGAGTTTGCTCGTGCTGCCATGACACAGCATCACGGCTGGGCACCCTGCACGACGGGTTCGTTTTCTCACTGTGCCAGAAGCCAGAAGTCTAAGACCAAGGTGTTGGCCAGACTGGTGCCTCCTCGGGCCTCTCTCCTTGGCATGTACATGCTACCTTCTCCATGTGTCTTTGTGTGGTCTTCTCCCTGGGTGCATCTGTGTCCTGTTGGATCAGAGCCTACCTTTGTGACCTCGTTTTAACATCCCTTCTTTAGAGACCGTCTCCGAGTAGAGCCACATTCAGAGGTTCTGACCGTTAGGGCTACAACATGCAACTTTGGGGGGACACAATTTGTCACATGCCAGCAGACGCATGTCTGGGCAGACAGCATGTCTGGGGCCCTCATGGCAGGGGGATGGTGGTGTGTTCCAGGAGATGGTTCATAGTGCAGATCAGAAGCAGCGTTCAGACCACACCGGGCTGTGTAAACCACAGCAGGGGTTTCAGACTTGTTCTGCGGGCAAGAGAGACCATCAGTGGCATTTTGAACTCTCATGCTGTGAAGGGAAGGACCTGGAGGGAGTAAGAGGGAGCCAGGGTTTCTCGGCCTCCGTGCTGTTGGTGTTTTGACTGGACGACCTCCGCTGTAGGACACCCTGTGCATTGTGGGGTGTCTGGCAGGACCCTGGTGTCTACCCACTGGCCAGCAGCATCCCTTCTCCCAGTTATGACAGCCAAGAGAGTCTCCAGACAAGCCCGTGTCCCCTGGGGCCCAGTTGCTGCCCCCAGCGAGCAGGGATTGGGAGGGTGGGAGGTACCGAGGCCCGCGTGCCTGTGGCCCACAAAGTGAGGCAAGTCGAGAGGGTTTCCTGAGTCAGAATCACAGGACTCGCGCCTTTGCTGTGGTCTCTCCTCTTGTCTTGTGGTTGATGACGACACTTCCCCACAGCACAGGCACTAGACCCCTGGCTTCTCCCATGGTCACGCCCTTCCCTCCTCCTGGGCCTTTGTGACTTCTCCCCAGGACCCGAGACTGGCTGGCAGGACCACCCCGTGTAGCGGACCTGGTGACTAGGCCCCTGCATCCACCCGCCCGTCTGTCACATCCCCGTGCCACCAGCCTTGTTGACGCCCAGAAAGAGCACATTTTCTGCCTCCAGAAATCTGTTTACCAGACCAATATTTCGCAGCTGTAGTAACTGTTCCAGGGGCCGTGCCCTCAAGGAGCCAGCTCTGTAAAGGCTCGTGTGAGTGACTTCCAGCAAAGTGTCGGACGAGTGTGTTCCGGGACCCTGGGGAGTCCCCGCTGCTGGGGAGCCCAGGCAGGGGTGTGTGGGCTCGGGTTGTGCATTTGGTGCCTGGCGGGGCTCCCCCACTGGCTGTCACTGGGCCCTCACCTGGAGATGCCGCATTAGTTTCCTGTTCTCTTGGGGCCAGGGCAGCTTTCTGGAGTCCAGTCTTGAGAGGGTGTCTGGGCCTGGGCCTGGGCCGGGTGGAATGAGTGCCCTGCAGTGGAGAAGGTTGGCAGCAAAACAGGTGTGTCCCTGCGTCCGAGCTGCACGGTGTTAATCCACGTCCTGTGGTGCCCCAGGTGGCGTCTTCCTGCTCCATTTTTGCTGACTCTGGTCTCTAGGCCCGAAGGGTCCTTGCATTTCATCACACTGTGTCCGTCGACGTCCACTGTAATTCCACCTCCTTCTTGGATCTCTTTTGGTTCCTCTGAATTTTGAGTTGATCTTAAGAACACTGGGGAGTTACTCAGTGACCTCTTGGAACCCGGAACTGTCATGATTGATTTGCTGTTTAGAAAACTCATTCTGGCCACAGGGGCGGTAGTTAGAGTGGCAAGGTGGGAGGCAGGAGGCTGGTGGGGAGATGGCACACTGCAGCAGTCTGGGGAAGAGAGGGTGGCCATGGGTGGCAGGAGTCGTAGCTGCGTTAGTGGACTTGGTGACGGGCCATGTGAAGGGTTGATGGAGTGAGGGGTGAGGAGGCATCCAGGGTTCCTGTGTGGGCAGTTGGGCAGGCGGGACCCCTCTCCGTGCGGCTTTTCCAGAGTCCTGCAGCGAACCACAGAAACTCCTTGTCAGTGAGAAGGTGTGCATGCCTTTTGGAGTCAGTGCAGGGCAGGGGAGGGGCATGGGAAGCGCCATGGTCCAGGGCTGTGTATGCTGTGGTGCTGGGGCTGTGTCTGTGCCCAGTGATTGGGGCCCACTCGCTGTGGTTGTAAGATATCTTTACTGTCTGCCCAGGAGAACTGTCACAGCACAGAGTTAGCGCTCCTCTGTGCCAGGAGTAGCCCAGGAACACGGCCCAGGGAAGGCAGTGTAGGTGCTGTTAGTGGAAGGGGTGCAGGCATTCGCCAGGAGACCCGGCAGACTGAGGGGCATCCTGGGAAAAGAGCAGCAGTGTAGGAGACAGGCACAAGGGCCCCCGAGTCAGGGATCTGGAGGCCAGTGCTGCTGCCTACCGGGAGAGCTCGAGGAGAGGATCAGGCCCTTCCCACCTCCCAGACCAGGCAGTGTGGACCCCTGGTGTTATCCATGGTCACTTTTCCAGCCTGGATCGGGGCCCTTCTCTCCCCTGGGCCCGGGCAGTGTGGACACCTGGTCTCACCCGAGGTCACGCCGCCCTTTCCTCCTCCTGGGTCACTCAGGGGTGGACACCTGGCCTCCCTTGTGGTCACGCCCTCTTCTCCTGGCCCAAGCAGAGTGGACACCTGGTATTAGCTGTGGTGTGCCTTCCCAGCCTGCAGGAAGGTGTCTTGGCCCTCGTCTGTGGGTGGTTAGGACATGGCTTGAGCATCTGTCACAGACGTCCAGCCAAGGCTCCTGGAAGGACTCGCGAGGGATCTCTGGAGCTCAGTGTGTGGAGGATGGGTCTTTCTCTTTTTCTCCAAAACTTTCCTGCTCCTCGTGGCTTCACATCTCCAGCACTGACCACTCAGGCTGCGACTCACCAGTCGGTGGGCCCTGGCTCCCTTGAAGATCCATGCCAGGGTCTGTAGGCGGACCCACTCCTGCCCCACCTTCCCTACTCCCCTGGCTTGCCCACACCCCCAGCACCCCCACAGTGCTGCCCTCTCTGCTTTCTCCCCAGCCTGAGGTTGGCTGTGGCACAGGGCCCGGGCGCTTTGCGACTCTGCTTGGGGGAGCTGAGTCTGGGCTCGGTGCTCAGCCTTCAGTAACTCCTGGCCAGCAGCAGTTCTGTGAGTGTGGTGCCCTCCTGGGGGTCAGGAGGTCTGAGTTCAGGAGCCAGCTGGTCTTTCCTGGCAGGATGGTGTTGTGGGTCTGGCCTCCAATCTCCCAGTCTTACCACCAACCTGACTCCAGTTCCAGAACTCTGATTGTGGGGCCGCAGAGTCTACTGTTGAGACACGGGGGTCTCGTGCTCACGCTGGAGGAGGGAAAGGTGTGACCATGGGTAAGGCCAGGTGTCCACACCTGCCTGAGCCAGGAGGAGGGAAGGGTGTGGCCACAGGACTTTCGCTTCAGCCTCTGCCGATGGCCAGAAGAGCCTTTGGGTTTGCCAGCCAGTCTTTCTGACGGAGGAAGAAAAACGTCAGTGAGCGCCGCGGTGTGCCGCACTCGAGTGTGCTCCCTGAAGGCTCCCTCCTGGTGGGCGGGGCTCAGTCCTTCTGCTGGCCGTCTGACCTCCCTGTCCCTCCCCCACAGAGAGCCAGCTGCTCCCTGGGAACAACTTCACTGACGAGTGTGACGTCCCGGGCAGCTTCATGTGTGGCAATGGGCGGTGCATCCCGGGCACCTGGCAGTGTGACGGGCTGCCCGACTGCTTCGACAAGAGTGACGAGAAGGAGTGCCGTGAGTAGCCACGCTTGGTGGGATCTGGGGCGGGGAGGGGAGCCCTGACAGGGGAAGGCTCCCGAGGGGGTTCCCGAGCGGGGGAGGGGTTTCCGTAGGGAGGGGGTTCTGAGTGGGAGACAGGATCCCGAGTGGGGGAGGGGTTCCTGGGAGCTTCCTGAGCTGGGGAGGAGTCCTGGACCGAGAGGGGCCCCTGGGCAGGAGAGGGGTCCCAGCTGGAGAAGGCGTTCCTGGGTGAGGGAGGGGCCCGAGCTTGCTGTTGGCTGGAGCGCCAGTGACTCCATTCAGCCTCTACCTTGTGCCTCTGTCTTGGCCTCATGGTCTGTGCTGGCCCAGGGGTCCTGGAGGTTGTGGAACCCTAGCCCTGGGGAGCAGAGCTAGGGCCTGGCACCCACCAGTCCTCCTGGGATGCCAGGCCCTCCCCTATCACTCGCTGTCCGAGATCTAGAGGTCATGCAGCTTCAGACCTCACACCCAGCCCCTGGCAGGTCTGGTCTGGGAACTGGGGCTGCCTGAGCCGAGGCCCTGCTGGCGACCCTCCTGAGAACAGCGTGGAGCTTTCTTTCTGTCTTTCTTTATTCCTTTTTTTTGAGAAAGCAGAATTTATTGAGAGGACAGAAAGGCTCCCACAGTGGAAGGGGACCCAAGGGGGTTGCCACGCGTGGCGCTTCCTGACGATTGGCGGTGGCATGGCATCCTCTGGAGTTCAGCACAGAGTTAGTACTGAGCAGACACCGTGTGCTCCCTGCCCTTTTCCTTGCTGGTCGATGTGGCCTGGGCTTTGCAGGGGCGCCACCCCTCGGGGCACCACCAGGGTTTCCCCAGCCCTTCGGCTGTATCCTGCTCCTGAGCCATGCATGAAATTTGGGATGATGGTCATCTGCAGAAAAGAGGGCATCTGGGTGTTAGTCCAGGGTCCAGGTGTCTGGCAATCCTGCCCCGTAGCTGATTTTCAGCCTCCTGCTCAGCGTGTCTCTGCAGCGTTGCAGGGGACGCCTGGCCATGGCACCTGGGCAGTCACCCGGGTCCCCTGGCAGGTGGGACACAGGCTCATCTCACGGGGGACCCCTGTGGGGCCCAGCCAGACCATGGTCCTGGGCTGCCTTGTGGGCTTTGGGCACCAGGCCACGTGGTCTCTGACAGCAGAGCTGTGTGCTTTGGCTTGGAAGCAGCCACCTCCTGAAAGCCAATGGAGGAAATGACGGAGGGCAGGCCAATCATGTGCACTTTTGGCAGATCAATACTGGGACATTGGGCCAGGCTGTGGACTACAGCAAGCAGTCCTGGGTGTGGGACCCATGCCCTGGGATGGCTGCCCACCCTGCGACTAGCCCTTGGCCCGCCGAAGGCCCAGGACTCCCCATTCCTGTTCCCACTCTTCAGAGGCATTTGGGGATGCAAAAATTGGGAGCATGTGTTTTGGGGGAAATATTTCATTCTGTTTGATCTTTGTGATTTTTCTGAGCTGATCATAATACATTTTTATTTTTGTCGTTTTTTAAAAAAGTGCTATGCCTATTTCAGCTTCTCCCTGTCACTAGCATGCTTTCAAAATTGCTAGAAACGCAGAGCTTGTAACCTGAGTTTCGCAAGAGGGAGTGTGCGTGGGCTCTGTCATCTGCCCAGTGCTGAGGACTACTGAACGCCAGGCCAGTGTGTGAGATCACAGAAGTCGGGTCACAGCGTGCGTCTGAACTCAGGAAACTCTGTGTTGTTAGCCGATGGGGACTCTCTGGCCTCTGACCAAGCTGGGTTCCCAGTTCTGAGCAGCTGTGTGATTTAGTGTGTCTGTGACACTCTGTGTCCTGCCAGCCCAGTCCCATTGTCCAAGGAAGAGGAGAGAGGACTCTAGATGTTCCGGCGGCTGCTCGGAGCCGTGGGGTGGTGGGGGCAGGCACTCTTCCTGCCTGTGTAGCACCGTGGCCCTCCCACTTCCCGTCCTTAGCCCCAGGTGTGGCAGAGACTTGACTGGCACTTGTTTAGCCTTTTGGTCACAATGTAATTTAAAAACCACATATCCAGACACATTTTATCTTTAAATTGTAAAAACAGAAGTGCTTTAGAAGTTTAAACGCTAGAGGAAAGCAAAAAGTTTTCTAGAAAAAATTCTACTTTCATTTCAGATTTCTTACAAATTCTCTCCCAGCTTCTGAGTGGAGGGTGTGAGTCCTGGAGAAAGACATTTATGTCCACATCTGAGTCCGTCTCTGCCCGTAGGAGTTGTGTGATTTTGAGAAAGTTATCATAATGTTCTCAACCTTCTGGGGGGATTAAAGAGAATTCTTTATCCTCCTGGTGCCTCAGTTTCCTCCTTTCCTGAGCTGTAAGGCTTCTAGCACTCAGCACCACTTACGTCTGACTTTTGTGGGGCAGCCAGCACTTTGCCACAGGAGCTGTTGCTGGTCAGTCCGCACACACGCTTGAATAGGTTCGTCACCATGGGAACTTTCGACTGACCAGATGAATCCCCCGCTTCTTCTACTTAACATTGGAGGCTGATGATGGCCACACGCTCCTCGAGCGTTCACTGCTGTCTTGGGAGGCTGCCGGTGCTCCATCGAGAAGTTGCCCTGCCATGGAGTCCTTCCCCTGTGGTTGGGTGCTTAAATCTCTTGTTTTTTCACTTCTGATGATCCTATGTTTAGGATCATTTGAGGCATGTGTCCATACCCGAACGACAGACATACATACTATCTCAGTCGGAGCCAGTGTGGGCAGGATTGCATCTCCAGGGTGGTCATCCTGACCGTCTTTTCAGGGACTTCTGGGAGCAGTGCAAGGTCTTTTCGCCTTTGTGTGGGGGCGGGGAGGGGGGGGAGTGGCCCTGTCTTACCTGTGAGTCACAGAGCCCTTCTCTGACTCTGGAGCAAGTGGGCCCTTAAGGGGAGGGGAGTTCAGGCAGGGGCCTCTCACCTCCGAGCGCCCTCCGGAGCCTTGGCTTGGAGAGGATCACAGGCTGTCCCAGAGAGAATCCCTACCCTTCCAAAGTGCATTAAGGAAAGGCATGTCATGCAGGGGTGGGAGGTGGGAGCAACCCCTCCTGGGTCCACATGTAGCGGGAAGACAGAGAGATTGTGACACCAAGACTATTATAGGAAGTGGCAACTTTATTATGCCGGCGGGCTCGAGGGCTAATGCGTCCAAATCAAGCCCCGCAGAATGGGAGAAGCGGAGTCTTATACCCTTGTTTAGGTAAGGAAGGGGGTCGTGTTGAGCGATTACATATTTCCTTTGGAATCTTACAAGGTTGTACTCAGCAAAATCAGATCTTTCAAAGAACAAATGGTCTCCAGGAACTGCAGTGTTGTAAACCATCAACTTCAGAAGAGGGGTTTTGGATAAGTCTGTGAATTAGTTACCCTTTTGCATTTCCATGAGAGCTGTCAGTCTCTAGCCATTCGGCCTTTTTCAAACAAAACTGTCCTGGCACCTGGCGGGTCTTTAAAGCTTGCAGCTTGGCTTTCAAAAAGAAATACCTTTAACTGCTACCAACCCCGTTTCTGCTACAGGGTTAGTGGGAGACATTCTGTCATCCCAGGTGATTGCCATGGGGCCAACTGCTGATTCTGAAGCAGCTACTCATGTGTTTCTGCGTTCGTTCACTCAATCATACAAGAAATATATTTGAGCATTTGCCACATTCTGCCACAGTGGACTAGAATTAGTCGCCACCTGGGTTAAGATGCTACTTTTCTGCCTCTTGGATCAGGAGAAGAGACTCACCTTGGGACACTTTGAGTGTGTTTCTGTTATTGGTTAGTGGATTGCCCTCAATGATAACATTATCCAAATAACTTTTGGATGACATTTTAGGGAGTGCAAGATGAACAGAGCCACCTCAGCCGCGCCCGGGCACTTGTGGTATGGTGACTCGCTCGACCAAAAATGCCACCTGGAAGGGATTGTTATGTCATCTCCAGATGAGGGGCTCAAGCCAGAGCAAACATACAGAGCCCATCTGGGCCCAAGAGCAGGCCCCTAGCCTCCCCTACCCTGGGGACTTTGTCTTCCGCTGCAGAGTGTGTAACATGGGTCCCGCCCCTACCGTGACTAGCCTGCTGTTTAAAACATTCACAAACATCAGTAACGTTTTTTACTGGAAATGACTTTTAAAACAGCTGCGTTGGTCCCATGAGTCTGAAATGTTTTCTGGAGGAGACTGTGTATGCTGACTGCCACTCGCTGTCATGGCAGTCCACACATTCAGAACCTGGAACCAGCGTCTTGAGATCGCCTGCCATTTCTGTCGAGGTTTAGCTGCATCTTTCTGTGTCCTCACCAAGTGGGGAGAGGTCTTGGATATTTGGGATCCTCATTACAAAGGGGATCGTGTTCTCCTCTGGAAAATTATTATTATTAATACTATTATTAATTTAGAGCCTGGGTGAGACTGCAGGAGGCCCCAGGTGGGAGAGCCGGCTGGGCTGTCGGGCTCCTCTTCCTGGCTTCCGCGTCCTCCTCCTCATCTGCCTCCAGGGGCGCCACCTGCCATGTGTCTTTCAGGCCTGTGGGAAGGCGGTTCCTCTGGGGCACGGGAAGCTGGACTCTGGCTTTCTCAGGGCTGTGCTCGGCAGTCTCCACCGCCAGGGCCTGCGGGTCAGGAAGCTCCCGCAGGATGGACACTGCTTGCGGCCTCCTCTGGGCTGTGGTGGCCGCGGGCTGTGGCTGGGAACGGTCCAGCTCTCCCCTGCAGGGGCTGCAGGACTGGCCTAGCACCAGGTCACTGCAACCAGTGTCCCCGTGTTCCTGTGCTGATGTCCCGACCCCCACGACCTCACATGTGACCCTCTTGGAGATGGGGCTCTTTGGAGCTAACGGGGAAAACAAGCCCGTGGGGGCGGGCCCTGATCCTGCGTGAGTGGCATCCTTATGGAAAGGGGCGTCTGATGCAGAAACCCCGGGAGGAGCCTGCCCTGTCTGGGTTTCGGACTTCCAGTCTCCAGGACTGTGAGACAACATGCTTCTGTTGCTTGAGCCGCCAGTTTGGGACATTGTTATGG